TTTTTTTCCATCACTGAGATCCAACAAACCTTCAACTTTCCTAGTCAATGCCAACAGACGGAGCAGTATGAAGAGGGTTCCGAAATTTCGGCCCGGTACGAATCACAAAAATCAGTATGGGGGGCAGGGGAATCCACACAACCAATGTACAAGCCCCGATTCAGCTCGTTGCCCGAAAGAAACTTGTGACACTGACGGCTAGTGGAGCAGTACCAAAAACAGTATTACTGACAAATCAGAAATAGACAATTCCTGCCAACGGTTATTTAATCTGGATGTCAGCAGCTTGACAACCAAAAGATAAATCTGTCTAATTAGTCATATTCAGGGAGTGCCAGGATAGAAATTGACGTCCGAGCCTTGGTGTAACACTTTGGAGATGGGGGGAGAGATGTTTTGCGGTGTGCGCGGATTTTGCCCAAAGAAGTAGCTTGTCTGCCTGTGTGTGTGCGCCCACACACACACTTGTTGTCAAGCCCAACACTGGATCGGCTCTGTTCCATTGGAATGTGGGCCGATCTGAGCCCTACTGACAAGGGGCAATCGTTCGACGGAAAACACCAAACTTTTGACGTTGGTGGCGCAATAAATTGTCTATTCCCCTATTTGCGGTGATTTGTTCTGCCTTTTGATCAAATGTGAACGACTTTGTAGCAGCTGCGTATGTTCCCAAGTTGTCGAACCCTTTATAGTATATAATGTGTAGCGGATTTAGTTGGGACGCCACATCACCAGTAGAATCGTCACGGTCTTTGTGAAGCGTATCATAACATGTGGACGCTGTCAAATCTGGACACGTAACACAGAGCCTTGATTCAAAGCCACATATATCTGTCGCTGCTGGTTCTTATCTTACATCTTTCAGTGAAAGCTAAAGTCCGCCTAACCCTTGTTTATCGATACCATCTTTGTGTACACATAGTTAAAGATTTGATCTAGTCAGTCCAGCATAGAACCACCGGGGGGGGGGCTTATTCAGTATTGACTTCTGCTCGTTTATTACTGTCGTTCCAGCTGGAGTTCCACTGTTCCCCGGGGTTCCTGCTCCTATGATGAACATGTTCTCATCACCCACACCTTATGCAAATGCCCAGTCTTCCACCCACCCAACCTCAACTAACCAAGTTCATTGTGAGGCAACCGGACCGTTAAATCTGAACATAAATTCAAGTTTACAGGACAAGAAATTTCACTGGCCACCCGCGACGATCAAGGCAGAATGTTCCGTAGCCGATCCTGGTGGTCTTTTTACACAGTTTCCCGAGGCCATGTCTCTGTGCAATCCCTTGAATGGTATGCCTCCCAAAAGTTCGATATTGACCTCTGCCGACCCGAAAACGAAGGCTTCAGTGTGTGGAATGCCAACAACCGTGAAGCCAGAAACAAATGTTTGCGATCCGTTTGCATTTGGGGTGCAGTCGTCGCACACAGACGTCGATGGCGTTGCTCAAGCGAAGCTTGAAAGTCCTACTGGAATTTCCTTTGAGCAAGGTGAGTATATGCTCTTCGTTTTTTCCCCACGAGTTCCGAGGTATTCAGATTGAAAATGTGTCCCTGGATGCACTAAAAAATATCGTTCAACACCTTTTCGGTACCTAGCTGCCATG